GGCCAATTGCTGAGTTTGAATCTGGCCATGGATGAGGATCCATGGCCTAGAAAAAACTCAACAACTACTTGAGACTTGTCACGTCAGAAATAAAAGAAAAGAAAAGAAAAATGAGAGAAAATGGAGGGAGAATGAGACAAAAGGGGAGAAAAGAGTGGAGGAGAATGTGCAGGTCTATTGGGACCTGCACTGTAAGGACTGGCAGGTCCGTACTGTAACCTCATTCCTCCAAGATTCAAGGAGGGCAATCCAAAATGCAGAGATATGGCCCTTGGGGCAATATCTCCACAAAATTTGAAAAAAAAAAAAAAAAAAAAAATTGCAAAGAGAAAATAATTGGTTTTCTTTTGGCCCATGGATATGAGTTCAGATCCATGAAGGAGGAATATGGTCGTTTTTTATGAGGCCTACCTAAACGGCCAACTCCGGAATGAGTTGGCAACTCAAAATGGAAAGAAACAAAAAAAAGAAAAAGACAAAACTGTGCATTTGGCCCAAAAAGAAGGCTAGATGCACGAAAAATTGAAAAAAAGAGCTTAGGGGCTCAAATTTGAAGCAAGGGCTACTTGGGGGTGGCACGGAATATTGTTGGTCTTGGATCTCAGCCAGATCCGAGGCTGAAAAAGGACCAAGGCATGAGAAAATACCTCGGCCTACCAAAAATGCGGTAGAAATTGAAGCATGGGAAAATACCCTCTAGGCCTTTTTTTCTCAAGTGAGGCTGCCCCTTGAGCATTGGGACCCAAGGGGGCAGCATTTTGAAAATGAAAAGGAGGCTGAAGGAGGCCAAGGGGCAATCCGAGTTGGTACCAACCACTCGGACATCGTGTACTTGGCCAAAATAAGGCCCGGGTATCTTTGGAAGGGCCTAGTGGTGGAATTTTGCCTTGGGGGTACGTCGGTTCACCTCAAGGCACATGGGGAGGCCCATGGGCTGGCCGGAGTGCTGGTTTCAGCCTACATAAGTTGAGAATTCAGTCCGCCACACTCACATTTGCATGATGTGTTCCCATGCTGCCCAAGTGAGCTCATAGGAACACTTCTCTCACTTGGAGAGAGGAGAGGGGAACCCCTGCCACTTTGAGAGCTTAGAGGAGATTGTGGAGTAGTGGAGGGAGCTCTAGAGGTTAGTGGTAGTGAGACTGGCCTAGGGAGGTGATCCGCCATAGCCCCCAGGCTGTGAGGAAGAAGGAGAGGCTAGAGGGAGTCCCATTAGCCCTCCTAGAGGGGAGGACTCCATAGCCATAGTGGAAGGAGCTTGCAATGGCTGGGAGAGGTTGAGGGAGGAAGGAGAAGAGGGTTTGAGGAAAGAGAAAGTCATAGCCAAGGAGACACTTGTGCAAAGAAGGGAGGAGCTTCATCAAGATTGATGCTTTATGCCAAGATACTAAGGAGGTGTAACATATCAGAAAGTGAAATGCACTGAAAGCCTAGGATCTAGCAATGACGAAAGTGGCAACAACCAGCAGCATAGGTTAAACATTCACAAGGTGTCAATGTGCGCGACGCAAAGAGTGAAAGAACGGGAAATCAGTAACAACACATTCGTATCATCATCATCATAGGCTGGGAAGCAGTGCAGCGGAAGATCTAGTATCAAAGGACACGTGGACAACAACATGAAAGGGAGAAACTTCGGAAGGGCAAGACACCAGGATGATTGCCCTTCCGCTCACACACATGGGGAGAGATCCATAGACATGCGAGAGAGAAGGGGGAGGGACATAGAGGTAGCCAAGTCCAACCCAAGTCTGATCTCCGAATGTCGCACACAGTTCAATCCCAATGTAAAGTGTAAGTCTGATCTGAATGTCGTGTCCAATAAGGCAGAAGGCCGTGTCTGAACAATGTCTGCAGTTACCTCTATCTCTACTCTGATAAAGAAGAAGAAGAAGAAGAAGAACTTCGGAGGAGTAGGAGGAGAAGAGGAGAGGAGAAGAAGAAGAGGAAGAAGAAGAAGAAGAAGAAAGTTGGGTGCTTTCTGCACTTACCTGGCGATGGCTGAACTTGCAGGTACCGCGGAGCCAGCTATGGTGTTGGGCATGTAAGTCCTCTTCTCTCTCTCTCTCTCTCTCTCTCTCTCTCTCTCTCTCTCTCTCTAACTCCACTACCCTCCTCGGCGCTGGACTCCTCCAGCGATGTGCCTCATTGCCGATGAGCAGCGCAGCTGCAGTCTCGAAATGGCTCAGCAGGGAGTCTCCAAAATAGCGCAGCAACCAAGTTCCTGAACCAGCATAACGCTGGATTTCTCCTGGTACCTTCTGTGTCCGAACTGGGCAATGGCCCAGCTTAAGTAGTGYTGGGCCAGGACTGAAAACCCACGGCCTGCGTTCTGGACYGTGCARATCGAAACTCCGATCCACGGTCCAGATCGCAGGCTTCGAAAAYTGGTTCAGTCCTTGGCCTAAAACGGCCTGCCTGGGTCYCTASCGRACGTCCAGGCCCTGTCCAGGATTAATCTTCCTGGTACCTGGCTTCAAACCGGTCCTGTGCGGAYGTACCCGGCCTCAACGTCGGCCTGGGTTCGAACAGGTCAAAATTTGTTCGAAAACAAAAGAAAAGGTCCAAACGTTTTTAGGAGCTCAGCCTCTGGGCCTGAATCTGGCCCTGGCCCTAGAAGCGTGTACTTGGCCAGAAAACGGACAACAGTACACCCGTTAGAAAAACAGCAGCAAATAAATCAAATAAAGACTATAAAAATAATCTAAAGCTGCTGTTTTTCTGATGCAGGCCCAAGTAAAAATGCCATAGGACCTTCAGGTTGCGGTGACGCGACCTGGGGGCCCTATTCCAACCTCGGGTCCCGCGAGGGGTCCGTGTGTAGGCTTTCAGCATGTAACAGGAGGTGAGTGGAAAGAAGAAGACTCTTCTTCTTCTTCCTCTTCTTCTTCTTCTTCTTTTTCTTCGTCCTCCCTTTCTTCTTCTTCTTCTTCCTCTTCTTCCTCCTCTTCTTCATCTTCTTCCTCTCCTCTTCCCTCTCCTATCTCCTCAATGATCTCTCACCTACATTCCTCTTCTCCTCTCGTCCTCTCTCTCTCTCTCTCTCTCTCTCCATAGGAACCTCCAAAGCTTAGAGTAGATGGTAGGAAGCTTTTCAGCAGTAACGGTCTCCCAAGGGGCTCGTCCTGCCTTTCCTTGTGAATCGCCACTTTTCACCTTGTGATTTCATGCATTTGAGTGAGCTTCACTCACTCTTCTCTGTCTTTCTCTCCACTTCGTTACTTGGGAGCAAATCGCAACTCTTGTTTGTGTTTTTCTCTAGTGTTTGGATGATGTTTCTCTCTTGTTTTGTCCTTTTCTTCACTCCAATGTGAAGCGCCACTTCCCCTCTTGTGATTTCATGCATTTGAGTAAGTTTCACTCACTCTTCTCTCCCTTTCTTACCACTTCTTCACTTGGGAGCAAATCACGACTCTTGTTTGTGTTTTCTCTAGTGTTTGGATGATTTTTCTCTCTTGTTTTGTCCTTTTCTTCACTACCTTGTGATGCGTCACTTCCCCCCTTGTGATTTCATGCTTTTGAGTGAGTTTCACTCACTCTTCTCTCCCTTTCTCTCCACTTCTTCACTTGGGAGCAAATCGCAGGTCTTGTTTGTGTTTTCTCTAATGTTTG